AAAAAATAGCCACATGACCTTATAAATTATACATCCTGCAGAATTTAATAACAAAGTTTTATTATGAGAATATATACGCAAAATAATAAAGGCATTCACAATAATAAATAGCTATCGTACAAAATGACCCAGTTAGATACCAGTGCATATGACGTGAGCGTTAACTGAACGAGTAATTAGATGTGAACTTCATAACCTTTAGTTAATTTAAATCTTCATTAAGATGTAGCACGTTGGTCTCTCCGCACAAAGGACTTCACAAAGAGGTTAAGTAGAAAAATCATACATTAGTCGTCATATATACTTGTTTTACGGGTGTGGTATACTTGACTAAGATCCCTAGTTCCTACACATTAGACAGAGACCGTGCAGCAGGGCTCCCTGATAAACCTGAACCTTTTATACTGCGATCTCCAACCCGCCTGCTATTATTGCCAAAATGTGTATTAGTAACGGGAAGCTATTGAAATACCTCGGTATCATTTATTACATACTTCATTACAAAATAAGGAAACGTATAATTTCAAGGCAACATACAATAGTCACATATTGTATTATCGGATATATCACAGTTTTCCTTCTGGCATTCCTGGCTGACTGTCATCAGCCCGTTCTTGTCCATTGCTACATCAACAGCCTATAAGTGGCCACTGCTGACCAAAGGCACCTTCTCACACGGAGACGATTTGAGTATTAACCACCATGCTTGCTCAATGCGGGTTGGCGATTTCAAACTTATAATTTGAAATTGTAAGCCAAGTTTCCTTCACCGTTTGTCAGTGGTGTCTAAATATTCTTAGAAAGAACATATAACTCGGAAAAAGTCTCATTGTAAAACCTGGCATCTAATATTTCGGTTCCTTGCTTCGTATTTGCCTTCAATAAGGCCAAAGGCTGTTATCAGTTCCCTTATCGACTTTGGCACGTGGGAGCCATTTGAATAAACGTTCCCTTTTGTACACCCGCATGTTCCAAAATGGCTGTTGTACCTTTATTTTGGTAGTTTTGGTTATATAGGTTAGGTTATCAACTCGAAGTTTAAGTTGCTTCTAATGTTGCGTCACTTTATTTCGAAAGCTAATAAGCGTGTTGCAGATAATTGATACGTTTTTGGTGCAAACAGTCCGCCTATTACAAGTTTTTCTGATTATCTTTATGTGTCTAATCCTCTATTACATTGAAACTTGTAATTCATACAAAGAAAGGATGTCTTGTCTTTAAAATATCCGCATTTTAAAACAATATTCTATATTCACTTAATGACAGCAATCGCAGTATAAAAGGTTCAGGTTTATCAGAGAGCGCTGCTGCCCGGTCTCTGTCTAATGTATAGTGATTATAATAATATTTTTCGCTCAAAACATAAATGCGGAAGTATTATTACAGTTACATAAAATTTTTCTAGTAAATTTTCCTTATTTTGTAACTATAAACTTGACATTGAAACCAATAATAACTATGGCAAACCATCTTATGTAGAGGAGGCTTATAGTCTTGCAGTGGATTGTCACTCGCTGCGCTGTGGACGATGGTTACATCTTACGAATATTACAAAATTAAATGCAATATATTGTGAGTTTGTATGTATATTTGTTATACAACCACGTCAAAATGGCTGAAGGGATCGGGATGACATTTGGAACAGTGTAGATTATGGTTTAGAATAACTCAAGCACAAGCTATTGTTTATACAGAAACGTGGGCGAAGTCTCTATACCTCTATCGTCCGATTTGACCCTTTTCGCTACCGACAAATGTGGTTCCCACCAAAAAACAAGGAATAAACACAAATAATGTTTAAAACCTAACCACATATAATACCAATGCGAACAGAAATCCGTTAAAATGACATCATACGTTCATTCAACATGTATTAATATTATCTGCAATAAAAACCAGCCTTGCTATTATTATACAACTTGGTTACTTGTTTATTTAGACGGCTTCACTCGCCTTTTGTCCAATTACTTTATGAAATTGAACTTTTACTATAACTTTAGCCGTTAGTTTGAAGCAAATCGGAATTCAAGACACTTGATCATCATCAGTCCACTTTCGACGACTTCTAGACATAAGCCTCTCTGATATCAAACCATAGAACTCGATCTTCAACTCTTCGCCTCCAACCACTGCCAGCCATCTTGCACCAAAAATTCTGTCAAAAAGAAAACTTCTACCATTTGAAAGTCGGTTAAAATTTGTCCTTTACCAATCTCAAGAACATTATACCAGTCCATCAAAAACAGTCCCGCAGTTTAGTAGTTCAATAAAAGTTAGGACAGACAAACCAACAAACTGTATTTCACCCAATTACTACTAACCTTGCACAATTTAGCGAAAATATAAAACATAAATATTATAAAAGATAAAAATAATAACACACGCAGCCACACAATCAGTACATTGATAAAAAAGACCGTTAATATTATCAATTATAATTATTAACACTTCATTTTGTATACAAAATGTTGTTTTTAGGTATGGTTTTTCAACGGTCTAGATAACATACTGACAGTTATTTCAGCCCTCTAAGTATCTTAGCGTATATTTTTGTATGGGATTAACCGGCCAACGAGCACACTGATCACCTAATGGTAAGCAATCGTCGCCCATAGACACCTGGAACACCAGAGGCGTTACAAGTGCGTTACCGGCCTTTTGGGGATGAGGATTGTTGGGTATTCAGGGATTGCAGAGACTGGGGAAGGGGGTGATTGGGCTTCCGGTAACCTCACTCACACGACGAAATACAATTCAAGCAAAGTTTCACGTCGAGCCGGCCCATTGGTGCCGAAGCATAGCCTCCTATACTTATTCAAGTATATTCATACTTAGGTATATTAAAATAGTCTTCGAAAATACCTAATCAAAACTTTTGTTTAGTATGTAAGATATAGTGTGCGAAGTGCTTAAATCTTTACAAATTATGCACTGAAATCTTCCTCTAAAATTTCTCTAATCGACTAATGAAACTCGCATTAAAACCAGTTCAACAATTTTCGAGTTAATCACGAATATAATATATTGCGAAGATATTTTTGTAACTTAATTATTAATAATAAAACAAATCTGCCTATTTCTGTCTAATTAATAACTATACGTAATAATCACTAGCAATTAACTAGGCAAAATGATGATATACCACATAAACAAACAATTTGTTCTATTATTCTATTTTTGCAATAAATGTGTCTATGAGAAGGAAAACCAATTAAAACGAATAATTATGCCTCTATAACGATTTCCTGTGTTATCTGCAAAAAAAACGTTGTAGTTGTTTATTATTAAATGTTTTATCGAATTCACGTACACTCGACTAAAAATAGGTTGTTAACGAGTTTGTATTAGTTGTGTCAAAACAATAAACTGAATAATAAAAAGTAACAATGTTACATTGCGTAATATATTATCAAAATAAGTTTAAAAAACCGTTATTCGTTTCCGAAAGTTAACCCCATCTCTATAAATATTGATCGACTAATTTCAATCGATTACAATATCAAAGCATGTAATATGCATCTTAAAGCATCGGCCATCTAATAACTGCTACCCTAATCGGACTTATCTCCTTTTCAATACAATTGTAACCGATAAATGTAAATAATTTTCAATAACTACTGATTTATGTACCCTTACTAAAATATTTAGGAATATATTCATAACATTTACGTATTTTAAATACAAATTTACATATAAAATTAACTAAATCAATTTTTAGTCACAAAAAATAAGTAATCCCACGCTAAAACAAAAAACAAAACTTTTGACAGCTTTGGCAGAATCGTGTATTACCTGCGCCTCGTCACGTTTGACATTTAAAACCTAACCTAAGCGCGCGAACCGCCCAAAGGAAACTTCATGTCGGCGAAATAGTTTCTACCCTTTTTACTTAAAATAAACACAACTAAATCAATATAAAACAAAATAAATCGTGTACAAGTGCAAATAGAACGTGTTACAAAACTTTCGCATGAGAAATTACATGTAAAAACAGTGACGACGTGAGTTGAAAAACAACTTTCATGAAGACCTTTTGTGAAATTTTTTTAGACAAAATAAGTGTATAATAATGTCGCAGAGACTTGTTAAAGGGTTTGTTGGTACGTAGAAACCAGTTTTATCGATTTATTTACGAGTGCAGATAGGTTATATAGAAAAAATTAGAAGGGTTCGTCGAATGTGTCTTTGTTAACAATTTCTGTGGAGGTTCATAACAATAAGTTCTTATATTGATACTATGGGATTTTTAGCTTGAAACCTCGGTCACATGACCTCATAGGTTAGTTATTAGGGTAGAATATGGTTCTAAAAGCCTGAGAATAAAGATTTTTACTTTTTGTCAAATAGAACTTGTATTTTTTAGTCTTGAGAATCAGCTGTTTGAAAAACAGGTGGGAAGGCTGTATAGATTTTGAAATCCATTATGTGTATAAAGTTATTGAGATTTATTTTATGATTAAGTTGGTTTCTAGTATTTTAGACAATGTTGGGGACTAATATATTCTTTACTAACCTTTTAGGAATAATATAACAACACCCACTTTACACTATTTATATTATGAGTCCCACCTAATAAGGGTGACACTATTTTGCCGTTTAACATGGTCACTTCTAGCCTCCATGCTACCACTGAGATTTTTTTAAAACCCTGTAATATTTTGCCCATCCCGAGAATCAATCCCAGACTCCCTTGCCTAGCAGTCTCACTTGCGACCATTCTTTTAGAAATACTTAATATTGTTATGTTTTTATTTACTACATAATTTATTGTAAATTATAACAAGAAGCACCCATTTCACAGTGCTAAGTTCATGTTATATTAAACGCGTTCATGTTGAAGTTCAAGTTAAACATGTCAAAATATGTGTTAGTTGATTAATCAGACATTGTAAATCACACCCAAATATTCATTATAATAATTATCAATTATTATTTATATGTCACAAATCTTAAAAACTACATATAAAAACAATCTAACATAACCTTTTCTTTTGTTTCAGCCTAATTACTGAAAGCTTCAAGATAAACTCCGGCAACAATGCTACGAAACGGAAACAGGAAGACTCGTTAACAAATAACTATAAAATTAAGATGAACCCTCACACATTAGACTTCTCAAAGTCACCTATATCTCCAATCTACACACCGACAAAGCGAAGAATCCTTGGAGAGATACAAATCCCTAAATCTCCACTTGACAGGCTAAAATCGCCCCTAACAAACTCACCAAAACAGGTTCAACAGTTCAAGTCTCCGTTACAAGCGATAAACTCACCGTTATTGAACAGAACTTCACCGTTCCTAAATCAGAGCTCACCGGTGACGGGTAAAAGTTCTCCGTTGTCTACTAGGGTGAAGCGGTCAAGGATTACAAAAGTTATGGAGGAACGGAGTAAATTTAGGATGGGTAACAAAGAGAATAGTCCTCAGTTAATGAGTGAAACATTTGTTAAATTGGATGTTGAGGAAGAGACGAGAGACTTTCTCTTCGGTAACAGATTTGAGTCTACGAGGGAGAAAATTACTAACTGGTCTAGCATGAAGGTAAGTTTTTGTGTCTTTTTTTATGAGTTTTGAGTTGTTCTGTTCGATTCCCATAACAGACTATTGTTTGAAGTCATATTTTTGACTGCACGGTTGGTGCGGTGGCTGGGCAACTGGCTGCCGTGCAACGTGTCGCGGGTTCGATTCCCGCACGAGATAACACTTTGTGTGATCCACAAATTGTTGTTGTTTGGGTGTCATTGTGTATGTTTGTAAACGCACCCACGACACAGGAGAAAATCCTAGTGTGGGGCAAAGATTAAAATAAAAAACAATTTTTGGTATGAATTTTTTACTTACTTTTATTATCTAATCTTGGTAACTCATAAATAAAATTACAGAATCTTCTCCTTGATCATAGACTCTTCTCTTTCAAAGTTTTTAATAAATAAACTTTAATTCCGATACAAATCTGGACAATATCTAATAACCACTTATTTCTATTACAGCTGGACTTCTCACACACAATCCAAAAGTCACCCAAACAGGACAGCTATGTGCCTGAAAAAGAAATAACACAAGACTTAGACGAAATCGACACACTACATGACTTGGAGCAAGAGTTTGAAGCAGACAACTTCGATGAGTGCACCAAATATGAGATCATATCTACGGATAGCCCGGACATTATATCCAGAGGCCGAACTACCTCGTCAAGGAAAGTCTGCTCTAGAAACTTTGTCTTCGGAGCACCGTTAGCAGATGAAGAAGCTTCGACCAGCTTCAACAAGCCAACGGTGTCTGCCACAAGAATGTTGAACTTTGACGATGAAGAATTTGACTTTCCTTCTCCGGTGGTCAAGAAACAAGCTGCCAAAAAGTCTTTAAAATTCACTGAAACACCTACAAAACTGACACATGAAAAAAGTGATTCCAGTATCGGTTCTATGTCTTTAAGTCAGTCACCGGTGACAAAAATGTATACTACAGAGTCCACCACTTCAATGGAGAGCGGTTTCATATCTGAACTCGAAGAGCCGTTCCTAGAAATCGATGAATCAAACTCACCTAAACTTGACAATTTTAACGATTTGCTCTCCGGACAGATTAAGTCAAATGTCAGTAACGTCCCACAAGAGAAAACGTTCTTACGGAGACCGTTAAACAGAAGTCTGAGTCTCAACCCTGAAAGTAGGGCAAGAGTATCGTTATTCTCAATCTTAGAGAATCCTAATATGCAACGGAATAAGAAGAGAGTGGACCGAAGTGAAAATGAAGTAGCCAATAAGAGAAGACGGTCGAACTGTCATAGTCCTATTCCGGAGATGAGTGAACGGCCTCAGAGACCTGTTTTGCAACGAGCTTACTCAGAGAATAATGCTCTCATCATGTCTGCGATGGCTCGATGTAAGTTTTAATTTCATACTAATACAAACATACATTAGAACATACATAGACAAACATACATTATAATTAGAAATTATAAGCCCAGGTTTCCTCACGATGTTTTCCTTCACCGTTTGTCAGTGGTGTCTAAATAATCTTAGAAAGTACATATAACTCTGAAAAAGTCACATTGGTACTTGCCGTTGGTAGATTTCTAACCCGCACCCTCATGCATGAGAAGCGGGCGTCTTAAACCTCCGGGCCACCACAATACATTTAGTTTATTACACACCCAAAACGTTTAAATTCAAAAAGTTCCCTTTATCAATATTTTCACATAAATATATCCCAATCCCACGCAATCTCTAATCTGAACTTCTCTCCACAGCAATCGTGGATCCGGATTTAATAGGAGACTTCTCCGTGCCATATGCTCTCCCCCTGACGGAGGGAGACCACTCCGACCTGAAGAGCATCTCCTGTGACACCCTCGCTGGACTCCTGAGGGGGGAATTTGATAGTGTGATCAGTGATTTTCAGGTAAATATCTATTTCTTTATTAAATTCTATACTAGGTTCTCCTCGCGGTTTCGCTCGCATTCCCTTGAAGTATAATGTAGCCCATGTGCCTATTAAGTGTGGGAGAGTCATACTTCGGCACGAATGGGCCGGCTCGACCGGAGTAATACCACCAACGAGCAGAAAACCGACGTGAAGCAACGCTTGCGTTGTGTTTCGTCGTGTGAGTGAGGTTACCGGAGGCCCAATTACTCCCCTCCCCAGTATCCCCCAATCCCCGAATCCCCCACAATCCTCAATAGGCCGGTGATGCACTTGTAACACCTCTGGTGTTTCACGTATTACTTACCATCAGATGATCAGTCTACTCGTTTACCGGACCCCTATTCCAACATCTCGATCCCGTCAGCTGTTTTGACCTGACATTCTCCCAAGTCTCAGGTTCGATTCCTGGTCATCTAAGTCAAGAATCAACTTTTAAAATATCCCTTTCTCTCCTCAGATCATCGACTGCCGCTACCCGTACGAGTTCGAGGGCGGGCATATAGTGAATGCAATCAACTACTACACTCCGTCGCAGATCATGACGCTGGTCAATAAGCCGGAGCCTCCGAAGAAGGACGGCCGGAGTATACTCGTGTTCCATTGCGAATTCTCTATTGAGAGGGGTCCTAAGCTGTGAGTATTAAGTTATTTTTATATAGGAACTAGCGACTGCCTCGTTGGCCGAGTGGTAGCAAGTGCGACTGCCAGGCATGGGGTCTCGGGTTCGATTCCCGGGTCGGGCAAAGTATTACTGGGTTTTTAAATAATTCTCAGTAGTAGCACGGAGTCTGGAATTGTGCCCGGTATATATAATATCACCCCTATTACATGGGACTCATAACATAAATAGTGAAAAGTGAGTGTTACATTGTACATACAGTGGCATAATGTGCACCTCTGCCTACCCCTTCGGGGATAAAAGGCGTGATGTTATGTTATGTTATGTTATGAACTAGCGACCCGCCCCGGCTTCGCACGGCTGCAAAGTCCATGTATTATACATATAAACCTTCTTTAAGTAAGACTGCCTCGTTGGCCGAGTGGTCGCAAGTGGGACTGCCGGGCCAGGGGTCAAAGTCAAAAGTCAAAGCATTTATTTCAATTAAACCATTGTTTGGTACTTTTGAAACGTCAACAAATACAAAATAAATAATAGTCTGTCAGTCAGTCCGTCAGTAAAACTAGGTGAAGCTAGGTGCTAGGTGGTCTCGGGTTCGATTCCCGGGTCGGGCAAAGTACTACTGGGTTTTATAAAATTCTGAGTAGTAGCATGGAGTCTGGAATTGTGCCCGGTATATGACAATAGACTCACCCCCTATTACATGGGACTCATAACATAAATAGTGAAAAGTGGGTATTGTACCATTGTACAGTGGCATTGAGTGCCGTAATGTGTGGAGATAAATAGCGTGATGTTATCTTATGTTATGTCTACTCCCATACAATACCAAACAAAACTAACCTATTTCATTTTATTTACAGCTCAAGATTTCTCCGTTCATCAGACCGTGCCAAGAACAAAGACCGGTACCCATTCCTGAGCTACCCAGAGATTTATCTGCTGTACGGAGGATACCAGGCCTTCCACCGGTCACAGCCAGACCTATGTGCCCCATTCGGATACACCCCAATGAGGGATCCTAAACACGCTCAGTCATTAAAAGAACATAGACAACACCGGTAAAAACATATAGTTTATATATTAACCTATTGAAATTCATCCCCTAAATTTGGTCATAAAAAAGTAGTCTCTAAACATTGGAAATAAAGTCTATAATGTAATGTAATATTAGTGGAGAGCAGTCACCGGTGACCGCTTGGGGATCTATGGGTTAATTCTGTAGCCTTACCACTGAAAAAGTCAAAGCATTTGATTCAATTAAACCATAATTTGGTACTTTTGAAACATCAACAAATACAAAATAAATAATAGTCTGTCAGTGAAGCTAGGTGCTCGCTCCAAAGTGTAGATTCCTATGGAGAAGAACGAGCAAGAAACTCCATAGGTTACTTTTTTTCAATCAGGTTCACAATACAATTCTCTAGTTACATAGTTTCTGTGGTATTATTATAAAATCCATTCTACACATAATGTCCAGATGAGAACTAAAAAAATCGATTAAACGTGTTCAATGTCGATAATAGGGTAATTGACAGGGTAAGAAAATTAAAATCTAATTAGTCCGTCGGTTAGGTAATGAAAAAATATTAGACACGTATTCTTTATTTTGTCGTATAATAAAACAATACTTAGATAAAACGAATCAAAGTTTAGGAGTGGGGCTAAAACGTCATTTCTACGTATAAAATGTACATAGAAGTGACGTCACGCGACATTTCAAATCAATATAATAATATCGTCGAAAGTATTCGTTTCTGTAAGAAAATAAAAAATACGTGTCTAATGATTTAAAATAATCTACCAGACGGACGTTGAAATAAAAATTAGGCATCTACCCTATTGGAAATATAGTATCTACTATCGCGCAGCGCCTTAAATAAAGACTTAAAAAGCGACCTATATACCGTATAACTAGCTAAAAATACTTTATAGACCAGATAATACAAATTGTAGAGGTTAAAGACTAAATAGTGGTTGTTACATTAGATATCTGCCTACCCCTTCGCGGGTTAAAAGGTTACACCTGAAAAGACTATAGAAAAATACAATTTCATTATTCTGCCCTTAAAAAAATCGCGTTGTATATATAAATTATAAAGAATTATAGAATATAACAAGCTATGACAAATTTATTATATTATGTTTAGCAAAAATCTTAACTGATAATCGGATTTTTGTTTTTATAAATTGTAAGTAAATACTTTATTAGTATAAATGACTGCCTCGTTGGCCGAGTGGTCGCAAGTGCGACTGCCGGGCAAGGGGTCTCGGATTCCCGGGTCGGGCAAAGTATTACTGGGTTTTTAAAAATATCTCAGTAGTAGCACGGAGTCTGGAATTGTGCCCGGTATATGGCAATAGGCTCACCACCTTACATGGGACTTATAACATAAATAGTGAAAAGTGGGTGTTACATTGTACAGTGGTATAATGTGCACCTCCGCCTACCACTTCGGGGATATCTACTTTACCCACTGTACAATTTCTACTAATAAAGTAATTGCTTATATACATTTATTAAAATAAGTCTTGTACATAATCGTTGCCATATTATGTTTTAAAATATATATACTTTGAGTCAACTAGTACAATATATATATATATATTACAGCGTTTTATTAAATCTTGTACAATCACATTGGTATCTTGAAAGCCAGTACGTCAAGTTTTAGAGTATGCAGGTAATAAAACAAAGATTGCTTCAGTACAGAGCCAGTAGCTGTCGTTATACTGAATTGTACGCTTTGTAACGAAGCCATGTCTTCTGTAACTCAGTCGGCTCTAGACAACCAATGGCTACTGTCTCTGTACTGAACCAATCTTTGTTTCCTTGCCTGCATACTGAATGACTTGGCGTCAACTTAATGGTTTAACAAATTGTACAAGCGTTTAGTAAATAAGCTAATTTTTTTAGTTTTACCAAGTGTCTTAAATACATACTTAAATGAATTTTGTTTTTGACAAAATATAGATTAGCTAAGTTAATAAAAATCGTGGGTTATCATGTGAATATGTCGCGGAGAACCTAACGGGTAACCGGGGCTCCGGCTAGACGTGCAGGAGAAGGAACGGGGTGGTTTTTAGTCAGTAAGAGTCTGACACTCCCTCCCGCCTCACCCAGGCAGGAGCAGTCATTCCATGATATTCCCCCCTTAAAAAAACTCATGTGAATATACTGAGAAAAGCTTACTAGTTCAGTAGGGCGGTGGTCAGTAGGCCGCGAGATATCGCCTCGACCGCGCACGCTGCTCATGAGGAAGAACCCCACTGTGGTTCGAAACTAGTAAAACTTCTTAGTATATTCACGTGAGTAACCCGCGATTTTTAGTTAATTTAGTATGTCTCACGATAGTTATTATAAAAACAGTTAACTATAAACGATCGTTGTGAATTGTTTGAAGTGTTAATATCCGTTGCGTAGTTTTATAGATCCATGCATTACATAGGGACAGACAGCAGAAACGACTGATTTATTCTATATAGTGATTTGAGACACTTCGTAAACAAAAATTTAAATAATTGTATAAAATATTTAGTTATTTAGAAATATAATCCTTATCCCACCTTTGTTAGTTTTTAAGTTTCTTTTTGACATCGCAATATAAAATTAAATATAATATTTGAAATTAAGTTGGAAATTTTATGAAGCCATTTTAAGTAATGGCGAAAAGAAATTAGCTTTCTCGTTGGTTTTTCACTATTAATATTAAATATATAACAATATGTCCAAGACACCACTGATAAACGGTGAAGGAAAACATCGTGAGGAAACCTGGACTTATAATTTCTAATTATAAGTTTGAAATCGCCAACCCGCATTGAGCAAGCGTGGTGGTTAATGGTCAAACCTTCTTCGTGTGAGGAGAGGGTTTGGTCAGCAGTGGGCATTTATAGGCTGTTGATGTGAATAATTTGATTCAATGACAGTCCACTGCTGCACTATGAGTCTCCTCTACATAAGAGGGTTTGTCACAATCTCCGCAGGCAGGCGGGTTGGAGGTCGCAGTATACAAGGTTCAGGTTTATCAGAGAGCGCTGCTACAGTTTCTGTAAATTGTTGGGTATATGACACCCGCGGCAAGAATAGAAGTGGTGGAAAATAAATTGTTATATACTTAGTATTATATAATATATGTTTAAGCTTTAATTTCTATATTTTGAAGTATAAAGAAAAGCCTTCAGTTCCTTGTATATAGAAAATATTCCAAATTTTTCTTTATATTTTTGGTTTTCGAAAGAATTTTTTATTAATTTCACGTGAATATTGCAATATTTCATCAATACGCTTCTCGACGATTATGTTTTTTTATTTTAATTTTATTTTATAGAAATTTAATTATTCCCGGTTTTTGTGTTTAGTTATTTTCATTAAATAATTTTGTTTGTATGTCGTTTTTAAAGCGTTTCGAAGCTTAGAAGTGCAATGTTTAAAAACCTATTTCAACGACCTTCCTTAAGGCTATCCTATATAGATAATGGTTTAACGGAAAATATCTATAATTGTACAGTACTACCTACGCTTTCCTCAATAAAATTTGATTCTAAACAAATAAATTAATATGGACATGAATATAAATAAAAAAATGTACTTTTAACTTTGTGAATATGACTGAAACAATGAAGTTTTTAACGCTGAAAAAACTAATACTAATACTTACATTTTTATTTAAGTTTTTTAAGTATATAACCACTTTAGTATTATTTCATTTTTCGACATACTTTACATATTTTTTGAACTTACATGGGACTCGATAACTACTGTCAAGTCAGTGTTACATTCTATATTTGTCTATTATTTCGAAGATTTACAATAAGCTACTTTCTTCCATTACAATAATTTTCGGGCAATAGACTCACCCCCTATTACATGGGACTCAAAACATAACAGTGCAAAGTGGGTGTTACATTCTATGTACAGTGGCATTAAGTAATGTGCACCTTTTCCTACTCCTTCAGGGATAAGAGGCGTGATGTTAAGTTATTATGACCATTCTGAACTGTGCAGAAATCAATGACGCATTGAAACTAGTTCCTCGGGCTACTTCTGATGTCCCAGGTCTTCTTAGACCGCGATCTCCGCTTACTATCAGGACAGTATACGCTTCCTTACTACCGATACTTGTAAAAAAATGTCCTAAAATAATTAATACTGAAGTGGGTTTTTGAGAATACGCTTATTAGCCTTAATATAGGATTTTGTATATATAAGAGAATGTATTAATAATTAGGTGCCATATACTTGAAGTTGGCGTCTACGGAGAATGCGATTTAATAATAATATGTCTAAATTTGAACAATTTTAATATATTGTGTATAATTGTTTAGTTATTAAGTATAAAATTGTGAATTTCTTATCTTAAGTTAGTTATATTTTTTAAAATAAATATTAAATAAATTATGTGAAAATTTATATTTTTGTTGTTTTGTTTCTACTACATACTTAGTTCCCATAGATTTACTAGGCTCCCTTCCTAATTTAGACATAGGGCTTAAACAGTGTCCAATTCGATTCCCGAAGTGTTTTAGTAAATTATCCATTTTTTAATTCTCACATATAACTTTATAACAGTGGGTATAACAAGTTTTCAGAGAAGGTAGTCATGATATAAAAAGAAGTCTTAACAAATTGACAAACACATGATGAAAGGTACATGAAGTCCGGTTTGATGCCTGGGTTAGTTAAAATTTAATATCACACATGAGAAAATCTATGTAGTTGAATCTACAGTTTTGTTTAGAATATTGCCCCGCACTATGACATTTCTCCTGTGTCGTGGGTGAGTCATACACATGACACAAAGACACTGAACAAGAATTTGTGGATAACTAAATAGTTAATTCGTGTAGAAATCGACCTAGTTACACTTTGCACGGCACCCAGTTGCCTACACACCGCGCCAACCGCGCAGTCGAAACTATTATCATAGCTCATTCCTACAGAGGCAAGTAATCTCAGTAAAACCTGCATTAATAGTCTCTTGCTTAAACTTTAAATCAGGCAGGCTATAATTTTTTTAATCTTTATTTAATAAGAAGGGCTTTTTTCCTAAGAGGAAAACGTCATTATAGGATACAAAATTCAGTACAATAAATAAAGCAGTTAAATCGTTTATAGGTTTAACTAGCCATTAAGCTTAAACATAAAAAAATTAAATGATAAAATTTTCTGGCCCCAGATGACACAATGGTGACTCTAAAACACTGTGATTAAAACCAATATTAGAGCTCGCTAGTTTTAAGTTTTAAGGTTTAAGGAAGTCGTGGTGGCCCGGAGGTTTAAGGCGCCCACTTCTCATGCATGAGGGTGCGGGTTCGAAACCTACCAACGGCAAGTACCAATGTGACTTTTTCCGAGTTATATGTACTTTCTAAGATTATTTAGACACCACTGACAAACGGTGAAGGAAAAACATCGTGAGGAAACCTGAACTTATAATTTCTAATTATAAGTTTGAAATCGCCAACCCGCATTGAGCAAGCGTGGTGATTAATGCTATAACCTTTTCCGTGTGAGAAGAGGCTTTGCACAGCAGTGGGCATTTATAGGCTGTTGATGATGATTAGAGCTCTTAAAACTAAAGACCTCTGAGACTCGTATTGAGTCTCAGAGGTCGACACTCATACAAAATGTGTTGCATGCAGGATGCAGGTTATAATGTGACTATTCCGTGTAATGTCAATTACAAGAAAAAGATAATTATAATTTTTTTAAAGCATTTTAAAATATCATACGGATAATTCACAACATTTGTGATCATCATACAAAAGTATAATCCCCAAGCAGTCTCTAGTAACCGCTAGGGGACTCGACAGACGTGGTTTCGGTTCACTCACTACACATATACAGCGCCTGTACGTATTCAATAACTTGCCGTAGTTCGTTAAAATGTTGCTAACACATTTCTGTCAGGCGTTGTAGAAAATATTTAATATTAACAATAAGGGACGTCATGGGATGGGACAACAATTGGTAATAGTAACTACAATATTTTAATCATCATTATTATATTTATAATCATCACAACTGCATTTAGCATATTTTTTTTTACATTTTTAACACTTTGCATCTTCTAAAACCTACAGATACTATAATTGTTAAAACAATTAAAATCTTAAAAACTAATCGAGTCAATATAACATGCCGCGTCGTTTTAATGTGCAAATGAGATAGAAATAGGTACTCAAACTCTAACCGTTCCATACATAAATACGAAGGTGCATATTTTTTATCTTATTGAACAATTTTCAAACAAGTTTTAATTAAAATAATAAATAAGTAGGTACAATGTACACTCAGCCAAGTTTAAGTATAGAAAAAGTAACCATTGGTTGTCTAGAGCCGATTGAATTACTAAAGAATTTTTTCTTTATTTTGATGGGTGAAAATCATCCAATGACGTTCTTGGGTGAGGCGAGAGGGAGTGTCAGACTCTTACTGACTAAAACTCCACACCGATCTTACTCCTGAACTTCGAGCCGGAGTCCCGGCAACCCGTTTGGTCTTCCGCAGCTCCGGATCGGCATCAGCCCTACTTGGCCCCGAGTTACAGAAGACATGGCTTCGTTACAAAGCGTACAATTCAGTATAACGACAGCTACTGTCTCTGTACTGAAGCAATCTTTGTTTTCTTACCTGTATACTAAATAGTTTGGCTGGTTGATTGTACCAGTTACTATAACATACATGGGAATAAATAACTTGATTTTTTTTACAAAATGAGACATTAAACTTGTACGTACTATGTAAATTAATAAATATCAATTAGGTACATAGGTACCTATTTAAAAAAAAAAGAAAGCTGAAGCTCCAATTTTAAAACGCATGAAACAAAAGATAATGCCTACCTCGCTACCATCACTATACTGAACAATCACATAACATAACATCACGCCTTTTATCCCCGAAGGCAGGCAGACGCGCACATTACGGCATTTAAAGCCATTGTACAATGTACAGTGGTATAATGTGCACCTCTGCCTACGCCTTCGGGGATAAAAGGCGTGATGTTATCTTATGTACAATGTAACACCCACTTTTCACTATTTATGTTATGAGTCCCATGTAATAGAGTGAGCCTATTGCCATATACCGGGCACAATTCCAGACTCCGTGCTACTACTGAGTTTGATTTTTAAAAACCCAGTAATGATTTGCACTTGCGACCACTCGGCCAATGAGGCAGTCAGACTGATCAATCATCACGTATATATCAGCCCCGTACAGTCCACTACCTCCCACAGTCCCCCCCCAATGACTACACATCACGAGGTTGGTAGCGATCAGCATACAGTGGCCGTCGCAGACCTTTACCAGACCGTCTGTCCATCTCCTGTGTGGACATCTTACACTGAGCTATCCCTACGCTATTCTATCTCAAAATACACACCATTAAGTTTAAAAATCATCAATAAGAATCACTTGTTGAACAAGAAGGATAGTCTATAAGACTTATGATCATGATGCTTATCAGGAGTCTCCACGCAGTCCCTATGTCCGACAGTGCTAGCTTCGACCGAGGATTGAATCAGTTCTATAATATCCCTCGCCCTATCATTAAAAATTTTACCGAAATTATTCTCAACGGACTCAGTCTCCTGATTGGTTCGACTAATAACAATGTTGTTATCAATAAAACTATTTCGTAAATCATTTTCAGCTTCGTCAGTCACATCTTTTGAATCTATGAAGTCATTGTATCTATTTTCAACTATGCGTGGGTGTATTATTTCTGTAGCACTTTCGACGGATACATTTTCACTTGTAACCGTCTTTTCTTCTGTAACGTCTAGATTTTCGAGTGTAACTGCATTTTCAGCTGTAACGAGATCATCTGTGGCTACCCTAAAGTTTGAAGTTATTATTTCTTCTGTTGCCACGTCATGTTTTTCTATTGTCACTTCTGAAGACCCTGTTTCTTCTTGAGTAACTGATTTTACTTCTTTAGTGACATCTTTCCCTTCTGCTGTCACGTTTTCTTGTGTAACGTTTTTGTCTTCGGACGTTACATTGGTATCTTCTGACGTTACTGCTCTTGCTTCTGACGTTACATCTTCAGTTGTAACTGTGACGTCTTCTCCAGTAACTTCATGTGTAACGTCAATATTTTCAATTGTAACGTACCTGTTTGAACTATCATATACGACTTCTGACGATTCTATTTTCTCTTCTGTAACAGATTCTTCTGTAGTTTCTCCCGATTCTATTGTGGCTTCTTTAACTTCTAAAGTTACATCACTTTCTGAATTCTTTTCTGTAGTTACATCTTTGTTGCCATGGCGATGAAATTTCTTATGTTTCTTATGTAGTTTACCTTTAACTCCTTCCTTGCTATCTTCAATTAAAACAAACTTTCTATCATCCTTTACCTTTTCAGTGCTTTTGTCATTATCTTCAGCAGTCACATCGCTGGATTTATCGCTAACATTCTTAGATACTTTATCTTCTTCGCTAGATTTAGCATTGCTGGAAGCGCTGGGAGATTCAGAGACATCAGCTCTTCTATCATTTTCATCTTTTGATTCCTCAGTAGACTGTTGCTCTTCACTGGTCGATTTATCTCGTTCTCCGTCAGAGTTGCTGGAACTCACATCATTTGTTTCAGCACGTTCATCATGGCTGGATTTAGCAGCTGAGAGGATGTAAGCCAGAGGTTTAGCTCGATCTTTGCCATGAAGGGGAGTGATTTCAACGACCTGCTTTTTGTGAGAATTAAGTTTTCTCCAACCCTTTCTCTTGTGTTCCTCTGAACCTCTATAAGGCAGGACCTGTATTACCTTTTTACCAGGTTTGCGACGATGTTCAGCGGACCTGGCCTCGCTCTGCGCTAGGCTGCGTTCTAGGAGTGGTATGAGCAATTCAGCGATGTTGCCATCGTGGTGGTGATGTGATACGTAGGGTTCCAGGTCCTCGGAAGGTGGCTCGTGGGTGTCCACGGAGCGACATGCCAGTGGCGCCACGCACGCGCTTAGGAGACACAGTGCTGAAAAAAAAAAAATAAGATTTCAAGGTGGTGGTACAAGAGGTTAAGATGCTTGCTTCTCATATATGAGGATGGGGATTCGAGACCAAGCTAGTACCAATGAAACTTTTTTCGAGTTATATGTAAAACTTGCGTTATGTTTCATCGTGTGAGTGAGGTTACCGGAGGCCCAATTATCTCTCCCCTTTCCCAATCTCCCCAATCCCCAACAATCCTCAAATTCGTACATAAAAGGCCGATAACGCACTTGTAACGTCTCTGGTGTTCCAGGTGTCCATGGACGACGCTGATTGCTTACCATCAGGTGATCCATATGTCCGTATACCGGCTTGTTCCATAAAAAAAATAATGACAAACGGTGAAGGAAAACATCGTGAGGAAACCTGGTCTAATAATTTCTAATTGTAAGTTTGAAATCGCCAACCCGCATTGAGCAAGCGTGGTGGGTAATACTCAAACCTTCTCCGTGTGAGAAGAGGCCTTTGGTCAGCAGTGGACACTTATAGGCTGTTGATAACGATGAAGAATATGTAAAAATACAAGTTGCTTACCTAATAACAAGTTCATTTGTATTCGGCCGACTGCGCACACCTCCTAAAGTGTCTGCTCTATTTATACTCCACCTTATAACCATGCGTGAAGGTATAAATTACCTTGACTGATTCAAATAGATTAGGAACACTACAGCTAATCATGATTATAACACCTTTTGATGTGTGCAGAACTGCAGAGGTAAACAGAAGTTACCTAAATAAATGTGATTAAACAAAAGATGGACAGAATTTTTAAGGATAATATAATATTTATTATGGAATAACTACCTTCCGCCCACGTCTTCGCCCACGATTCCTGTGGGATAGATAATCAAAAAACCAAAAACTTATAACAAACAAAAAGAAAAACTAAATAGCAAAAAATGACATGTAATGTAAATGATGATAAAGTGGCCGCAATGCGGGATGGTAGGTGGTATGGTGCTTTCGTCGACGTTCAAAGTCGAGTCAGAGGCAAAGAGAGTACCTAACAGATCGGCTTTCTCCTTTGCACTGTGGGCCAGGTTGCCATCGGTATTTCGCAGCTTTAGCAAGTAACCAGAAGGCAATTTTAATGAATAATTTTGTATAGAACTTATGGCGCCGACTAACCTATCAGTGGGTGGGTAACCTATCAGTACTAAGTGTGGGAGAGCCATGCTTCGGCACGAATGGGCCGACTCGACCGTAGTGATACCACGGCCTCATAGAAAACCGACGTGAAGCAACGCTTGCGTTGTGTTTCGTCGTGTGAGTGAGGTTACCGGAGGCCCAATCTCCCCAATCCTCGAATCCCCAACAATCCTCAAACTCCTAATCCCCAAAAGGTCGGTTGTAACGCCTCTGGTGTTCCAGGTGTCCATGGGCGACGCCGATTGCTTACCATCAGGTGATCCGTCTGCTCGTTTACCGGCTTATGCCATAAATAAATATGTAGGATGAATGGAAACATATTCTGATATCCTCAAATTAGATAGAAGATTCTGGAATGACTGAGAATGTATACATCTATACAGATAAATAAAACTGTAGTGCCTGTTTGTAATATTAAAATAACCGCTTATTACTACATGCATATGAATATACGTACATACGATATATACAAAAATTTTTTTTTTTTTTTTAAGAGCGGAATATCATCGAATGACTGCTCCCGCCTGGGTGAGGCGGGAGGGAGTGTCAGACTCTTACTGACTAAAAACCACCCCGTTCCTTCTCCTGCAGGAGCCCCGGTTACCCGTTAGGTTCTCCGCGACATATATACATACTTAAATAACACTTTTACAATTTTTCTTCAGTATGTCTTTACATTATTCTCACATGTGTGTACAATATTGGAATATGAATCAGAGCAGTGTAAAACAGACTTTTTTTTAAAAGAGTAACGAATGGAGTTTCTTGCTCGTTCTTCTCCACTCGAATCGACATTTTGGAACGAGCGCCTAGCTTCACTGACGGACAGACTGACAGACTATTATTTATTTTGTATTTGTTGACGTTTCAAAAGTACCAAATTATGGTTTAATTGAAATAAATGCTTTTGAGTTTGAGTTTGTCTGTTAGTCTATCTGTTTATACTGGCTAATCTCTGAAATGGCTGGACCAATTAGAACGATACTTTTATTGGCAGGTAGCTGATGTATCAACGAGTAACTTAGGCTACTTTTATTTTAAGAAAACTCGAGCGAAGTTGCGGTTACTGCTAGTTTAATAAGAAGAATCTTGATATCACGGAGTCGAACCCGAGACACATTATTCAGCAGTCGCATTTACGAGCAGTCGACCTACGTAGGTTTAATTAATCAACACTGGTCATACATAATCAAATTACTTACTTACTGATTAATCATTAGTAATCATAACAGTATGCTAGTTTTGACCTGCGGTTTTTTTCGTTATACTCGTCATATTTACTATTCCACCGGAGTCCAGGAGTTGTAGGTTATGGGAGGTTGTAAAGGAATGATTCCAGGAGATAAATAAAGTACATAACATAACATCACGCCTTTTATGGGGTAGGCAGAGGTTTACATTATGCCACTGTACAATGTAACAATCACTTTTCACTATTTAGGTTATGAGGTCCATATAATAGGGGGGTGAGCCTATTGCCATATACCGGGCACAATTCCAGACTGATTTTCTAGAGAGATTTTTAAAAATCCCAGTAATACTTTGCGCTACCTGGGAATCGAACCCGAGACCCCTTGCCCGGCAGTCGCACTTGCAACTACTCGGCTAAGGAGGCAGTCTTACTTTCGTAAAAAAACCACAAAGACGTCTGTTAAACTAGATATTTCAGTTTTTGCTTAGCGTGTATATTTTTCATACATATTTGATGGGGTGACATTTGCCCACTATCTCGCCTGGTGGTGCACGATGATGCGGTCTACGATGGAGCACGTCGTCCCATAAGCAACCTATTCACTCGGGCCTTGAACACTCCCAGGTTATACCCTTCAGGAAATACAGACTCTGGCAAAGAATTCCACTCTTTAGCAGTACGCACAAGGAAGCTTGATGCGAAGCGCTTCGTGCGTGTGGGTGGGACATCTACTATGAATCGGTGACGCTTCACCGACTGTCTTGTGGTTCGATGATGGAAAGCACTAGGAGGTGTCTCATCATTTGACAAAGAAAAAGATGCTGGAAACCATTCGATCGATGGAGGTTCGGTGTTAAATAAAACACAAGTACATAGTTATATCTATGTATTGCTGGCAGTAAATACATGACACATACATACATGAAATCATACAATAACATCTTAGAATTAGATACATAAGATAATTTTCATCATTACCACATTTATAAAGAAAATATAGATGTCGTAGTCGGACTACACATTTGACAGAGACCGTGCAGCAGCGCTCTCTGATAGATAAACCTGGGTACTTACTCTTGAAACCAATCTCAATGTAAATGCGATGTCAATCCAATAAAATCTCAATAATGATTCAATGTCAACACTATACAACCACAATCGTAGCTGTTACAATAGCATTCAGAGTACGGAATATAAAGAAAAACTCAATACCATTTAGTTCATTCAATATCCGTGCAATACGGATGCAATGGGCGCTAGTGTTGCAACTCGAGAGTAAGAAATTTCACAATACCAATGTCGATCGATCGGAATTGGATTCAAGAGTAAGCCCCCTGAACCTTGTATACTGCGACCTCCAACCCGCCTGCCTGCGGAGATTATGACAAACCCCCTTATGTAGAGAAGACTAGAAATATTAAAATTAAATAATTAACTATAATACCACCAGCATACAGTAATAAGAATATACGCACACATTCGAAATATGATTGGTCAAGAAGTTTTAAACTCTAAATATAAATAACTATAACTAAAATTCAGATATATGCATTACATGTGAACATTAGCTCATTACGATACCTAAGTACGTGTGTCGTTGACAAGTCAACCTCGCTACCATCAGTTGACTGGACAATACACTGCATGAGCTGATTACATGTGAACATTAGCTCATGACGATACCTAAGTACGTGTGTCGTTGACAAGTCAACCTCGCTACCATCAGTTGACTGGACAATACACTACATGAGCTGATTACATGTGAACATTAGCTCATGACGATACCTAAGTACGTGTGTCGTTGACAAGTCAACCTCGCTACCATCAGTTGACTGGACAATACACTACATGAGCTGATTACATGTGAACATTAGCTCATGAATTTAAAAATGCATATATCTGAATGTTTTTAAAAAGATTTAAATAACTTTTTATTATTAGCCACTCAACTTATTTATTATTGACAAGAACTTAAGTTATAATTTACGTTAAATCACTATAAATTATAATAAAACATTTTAAACCAAATGGATAATGTTTATACGACACATAGCCGAAATCAATAACTGCTTTAATCCATGAACTTATGTCAAAACTCGATCTTAATCGGTGACGTAGCGTCGCTTATTGGGGCCCCGTATTTAACTTTAAAAACAGGTATTAACTTTCAAGTGTTTTAGCATCAAACAACATACTTATTTCTTAAAAATTTGCTGGAAAAATATTAAAATTAAGTTGGTCATGCATGAAATCAATGAATGAAAGTGTGATTATTTTTTAAATATTTTATTGTATTGAACAGTCGAAATAAATTATTTTTGATTAAGGAAAGTGTCCAATTATCTTACTTTAGTGTTTTTAAAGTTCCTGCCAAACTTTGTATGCATGCTTTATGCGGGAAAAATCAAAAATTTTGACTTTTTTTATTGCTGAAATAAAATGAGTAAGTATTTTTGTTTTAAAGGGACAACCCCGCCACAGCCTCTCAAAACCGCTGCAACTCCTCTAAGCCAGGATCTACAGTAGATACAACCATGAAAACACCGGAACACTGAAGTCCGGCGCGTCCCAGGGACATGAGTAACTGTCTTGGTTCCCGCAACGAAGTGAATCAGATGATATTATAAGAAAAGAAGAAAAAAAATTATAGTTTCCACTTCCCTCGGCGAATTAAAGTATTTAATAATTTTAGCTTGCGCTCGTTGGGGACCCCCGGACTACAGGGGTTGGATAAATATAATTGATACGGTAAATAGCGCGCTGGCTAAGCCCCAGATTATAATCCAAAGATCTCATCGTATATTAATTTCGGTTATAAAGGTCTACACATTAGACAGAGACCGTGCAGCAGCGCTCTCTGATAAACCTGAACCTTGTATACTGCGACCTCCAACCCGCCTGCCTGCGGAGATTGTGACAAACACTCTTATGTAGAGGAGACTCATAGTGCAGCAGTGGACTGTCATATGCTTTTCACGATGAGAAAAAAAATGGTTGAATGTTTGTCATACCTTAATATTAATGTTTTAATTACACTTATAGTTATAATAAGGCTTAAGTTACAATTAGTGGTCAGAATAAGAGAGAACAAGGGAGAAAGAGATAGAATTATAATTACTTACTGTATATTAGGAAGATGTTACAAGACTTTAGTTTTTTTATGGGATAAGCCGGTAAACGAGCAGACACATCACCTGATGGTAAGCAATCGGCGTCATCCATGGACACCTGGAACACCAGAGGCGTTACAAGTGCTTTACCTTTTGGGGATTAGGAGTTTGAGGATCGGGGAGATTGGGAGGGTGGAAGGATCATGGCATAAAGTTTTTTAACCCTCGAAGGGGTAGGCAGAGGTACATGCACAATGTAACACCCACTTTTCACTATTTATGTTATGAGTCCCATGTAATAGGGAGTCTGTATATCATAATATTCTATTAAAAATATCTTCATTTTAAAGCTAAAGCACTAGATTTTGGAAGAACAGGACTATCTAGACTCTAATAACAGTGTAAATAGATTTTTTAGTATTTAGAATATTTTTAAGCACTAGAAATATACAGCCAAGTTATACAGTATGTAGTTAAGAACGTACAGATTGCTTCAGTACAGAGACAGTAGCTGTCGTTATACTGAATTGTACGCTTTGTAGCGAAGCCATGTCTTCTGTAACTCAGTCGGCTCTAGACAACCAATGGCTACTGTCTCTGTACTGAACAAATCTTTGTTTTCTAACCTACATACTAGATAACTTGGTTGAATGTAATATTTTTGAGAAAATATAATATTATTAAGGTAAAGTTAGAATATGTTTGTGTGCCCGCAATACTAGGG